GATCTCCTTAAGTGGCCACTCAGCCTGCCCGGGGCCTGCTTGTTTGTGGTCTGGACTGTGTTTCCGGCATTGGTGTTGCTCTGTGTGCCTCCCCGCCGGTGTTGGCAGAATTGTACAGTTGCACGGGGGTGCGCTCTTCCCCCCGCATCGCCTGTCTCGGATGCAGAGATGACAAGTCACACAAAGGCGGTGGCCAGAAGGGGCTGGCCTGGAGAGGAAGGACTGAGCTTGGGGCAGTTGCTGGGGGGGCAGTCACGCAGGTATGTGGAGCTGTCCTGCCCAGGTGTCCCCAGTCTCTGGCAAGGGTGTGGGAGGAGCCCAGCTGGTACTTTTCTTACTGAGCTTCAAAGTGTCCAGAGGAAAAAGTGAGCCATCTGTGAGCCCCTTCCCAGCCCAGGTTGGTGGTTGGTTGCAGCATGGGCGAGGAGGGAGGTGCAGGAACGAGGTGGGTGTCAGCGTTTGCAGATGGAGCGAGTGGGGGCTCTGGAGGCTGCACTCCGGCTGTGGCATGATTAATGGCTCTTCCCAAGTGTCCTTGTGACTCGGCAGACTTTGAATGCAGCGGCTCTGTCAGCTCCGCACACTCTGAGAAGCACTTTAGTGCTGGCTTCATTTGACTGCTGGGGCCAGGGCAGCGTTTGCCAAGTTTCTCCAGGTAATCCCCTTCTCCGTGTACTTGCCTGGGCCTCTGTCTCCGTGTCCTCCTCTGCACAGTGGGGATGGGGGAACACCACTCGTGGGGCTGTTGGGGGTATTAGCAGCCAATGCAGGGAAAGTGTGAATAGAGCTCGCTCAGCCCAGGCACCACCAAGGACTCAACACCTGCCATTGGCGTTGGCACAGGAATTGACGCTACCAGCATCACTCTGAGCATCAGCCCTGTCCCAGGGATGCTAAGGGACACGGCCCCTCCCACAGATGATCAGCTCTCACCTCCTCATGGCTGCCTCAGTTTACCCAACACCTCTTGGCGTGTTTTCCTGGGATCTCCCTCTGTTTTAGGAAGTCTCACAGCCAAGAGGACCCAGAACCTGCCTTGAATCCCAGTGAATGTCTGAGGCAGGCCCTGGACACGTGGTTCCCACACAGAGCCTGTGTCTCCTCTGGGCCCTCCAGGCCTTTGCCGGGCCCCAGCGTTCAGGGTGGTCTGGGCACTGGTCAGACCTCAGGAGGTCCTTGCAGCTTTGGCTCTTACCGCATCCCGGGGTGGGGGTAGGGTTGGCCTTGGCTCCCCGGGCCCTGCCGCCCACCAGGGGGCAGCAGAGATCGAGGTTCCGTCGGAGCCCGTAAATCAGCCTGTTTATTAGGGAATAAAAGTCGTCGACAACGCAGGGCTTTTCGGGGCTGCATAAATCTGCGTCTATGCCTCGTGAAACCCATATGTGCTTAATTCATATGTAAAGTTTCAAGCAGGAAGAGAATACGTGTCCATTAAATTCTATTTGACTTGATTATAATCATTAGCTGTGAATAATCGCTTCTTAGCGCCGACCGCTGAGCCACCACAATAGGCAAAAGGAAAGAGCAATTATCTTGGAGTGGGAATTTTTTAATTTTTATTTTTGAAGCCAGAGGCAGTGTTGGCCCCAGGGGTGTTGGTGGCCTGTGGAGAATGGTGCGGGATAGACTGGGTTGGGGACTTGAGGTCTGGCTGCTGGAGCGTCTGGATTTGGGTGGGGTTGTCTCTTTTTGTCCCTGCTGCCAGATGGGGAGGGGCTGTCACTGCCTGGGCATGGGTCCAGCTGCAGGGACCATGGAGGGGAGGGTGCGGGGGAGCTAGGGAGGGCTGGGGAGGGAAAAGGGAAACCAGACTCTGTTTCCCAAGTGGTCCCCTGGCATTTGACGTCCAGGACTGGTTTCTACCCCCACTTTACGGGTATTTGAGGTGTAACTGGGGCATGTGTGATGGGGTGTGTGTGTGTGTGATGTGTGTGATGCGTGTGTTATGGGATGTGGTGGAGGCGAGGTGGGGGGCTGGGAATGAGTAGAAGGGGAGATGCTTGGCTGGTGGGTGGCAGGGCTTGAGGCCACAGAGGCAAGGCAAACCCCGCTACACCCCAGGCACAATGCAGGCCTCTCTGGCCTCCTCAGCCCTGCTCCTGCTTGCTTGGGCAGCACCCAGGAGGGTCTCAGGATCCTGCCCATGGGGGGGAGGGCATGCCACATCTGTCTTAATTAAATTGGTTCCCACACTGGCAAGATAGGCCAGAGAGCCCCTCAGTCCCCCGTTCTGAAGCAGGAGATTCTCAGGACAGTGCCTGCCTCTCTAGCTTGGCCTACGACATCCAGGGCTGTGTCTGGGGAGAGCTCTGGTCAGGGGTCTCCCCTGGAGGATGCTGTGACTTCTGGAGTTTGCATCTTCTCTTTGCCACAGAGGTGACCTTAACTGGGCCACCTCCCTGCCCTAGCATTTCCTAGCTCACCAGGCAGGTGGCCCTTGTTCCTGACAGACAGCTGAGTGCCAGGCCGGATATGTCCCAGCACAAAGAAAGACCCCCATTCTTGGCCAGCCCAGGGGTCCAGCTTCCCAGCTTTGGCCTTCAGGGCATAACAGGACAGGGCAGAGGTAAACGTAATGCTTTGTGCAGAGACAGATGGAAACTTTCACTCGAAAGCAGTCACAGGCCAGCGAGTGAGGACTGGGGCACAGAGGCCAGGAGCGGCTGCGACCCTAGCGCTCCTGGGGCAGAGGTAAACGTAATGCTTTGTGCAGAGACAGACGGAAACTTTCACTCGAAAGCAGTCCCAGGCCAGCGAGTGAGGACTGGGGCACAGAGGCCAGGAGCGGCTGCGACCCTAGCGCTCCTGCTGGCCATGCTGTGGCCTCTGGCTGTCACCCCTGAGCCTCCATTTCCTCATCTGAAGAATGGCGGCAGCAGCAGCCCCCCAGGGTGGGTGAGAGGGGGATGTGAGCCCCCAGTTCATGGTTACTGGGGAGTCCAGAGCGAGAACAACTAAGTAGAATATAATGTGACAAATTGCCGGAAGCGAGGTCTGGACAAAGTGCCACGCGATGCCGCAGGGACCAATTAATTCTGCAAGGAGGTGGCGGGGGGCGAGGCGGGTCAGCAGGCCTTGCGGGCCGGGCACGTGGTGGAGCCGGGCTTCCCAGCCAGCAGCGGCCGCCCGGGGAGGCTTTTAAGCCGCTTATGTCTTTAAAATAAGGCATGAAGTGGCTCTCTGGTTCCTTAAGTCTTGGGCTTTGATTTGTGGAAATCTGCCAGCTGCTTCTCACCGCCTCCTTCCACGTTCCCCAAGCCCAAGTCTCATCCCTTCGTGCCACCTGGAGAGCCCGGGGAGCCTGGTCTGGTGAGACACAGTCTGGGCCACCGGAACGGCCACCCGTCCCTGCTCCCGCTGTCCCCAGGCTGCCGCTCAGAGTCAGTGATTTAGAGACCGCCCTGATGGACTACCAAGCAGGAGGCCCGGAGGGACGCCGACTGCCTTGTGGGAAGTGATCTGACGCTAAACTGTCGCCATAAATCGCT